CAGACTGGGCGTCCGTGGTGGCAGCATCCAGACCAGTGGCCGTTTTGGACCCCGTGTGTGTACCACCAGGCCCAAGGGAGTGCTCCCTCCATGGCGTGATCTGCACGTTTGGGGATCTGGGTCCCACCCTCAGCCGCTCCATTACTTAGTGTCCCAGCACCACAGGCCTTGGCGGTGTGGGGTGAAACCCCTCGGCCCCCTGTCGGAGAGGGGCAGGACCAAGGTCTGTCAGGGCAGTCTGCTCCTTCTCAGGCATCGGAGCAGCCGCACAAACTGGGGGACTTGATAGTACGCAAGTACTCATTGTCCTCCCGTGACGAGGCCCTAGGTTTGGCCTCTTTATCAATGCTAGCCAGGGACTTCTCTAGAGACTGGCCCAGAGCCCCAGGGTCCAGCTCAAACAAGCCTCTGAGGATTCCAATCCAATGGTTGACATCCTCAATGCAGAGGTACCATCTTCTGTGGCTTGCCCTTGAATAAGACGGTGGGCAAAATCACCAACGTCTTCTGGAAGATGTCACTTTCTATTCCACCTAAGGACAAGAGAGCAAAATGGCGGTATTTTATTCCCCCAGGTGGGCCATGAGCACCTATTCTCACATCCACCACCCGTCTTGATAATGGTTGCAGGCTGCTAACCACCACGAACACTACGGCCATCATGCGCCTATCCCCAAGAACAGGGAGGCCAAGCAAACAGACCAGTTGAGTCACAAGGCCTACACCTCAGGGGGTCTCCTCTTCAGGATTGCTAACCAGCAGGTCCTGCTGAGTTGGTATGCCTTCAACTCAAGGGCAGCTATAGACAAATTTAGTGAGTCGCTGCCCCAAGACTAGAGGCAAGAATTCAGGGCCTTGTCCAAGGAGGGCAAGGTAGTGTCCCAGGCGGCACTCCAGTCAGCCCTGGACTCCATGGATGCAGCAGCCCATACTATGGCATCGGGCCTGCTCCTGCACAGGGGCACATGGCTACATGTATCTGGCATTCTACCAGAAATCCAGAACATGTTTTTTAAAACAGACAGGGTGGTGCTTGCTCCTGTCCCCTGTGCAGGGAGAGTCTCCTCCTATGGGAGTTCACCGTGGCTCATGATATTCACCCGGTGGCTGCTTACCTCTCCGGGGCCCAGAACGGAATGGCGAATCACCTCAGCAGGTCCTTTGAGGGATATGAGTGGTCCCTCAGAGCGGACATAGCCCTGTCCGTTTTCTGCAGGTTTTCTCTGGACCTATTCCTATTTTTGCTTACTATTCAACCAGAGCCTGCAGTCTCTGGGGGATGTTTTCTCTGGAGCTGTTATATTCCTCCCCCACCCCCTTTCCACTAATCCACAGGGCAATTCTTAGGATCTGGAAATTTCAGGCCTCTGTAATCCTGATAGCCCCAGCATGGCCTCGTCACCCGTGGTTCCTGAGACTTCTCACGCTCTCAGTGGCACGCCATCTGGCCCTCCTCTTGTGCCCAGGTCTAATCTCCCAGGAGTTTGGCAGGCTTTAGCACCCAAACCTCTACTCCCTGCACCTCATGGCATGGAAGCTGCATGGCTGATGGCCATGGAGAGGCTGTGTTTGGAGCAGATCCAGGCAGTTCTCTTTGGAAGCTGGAACCCTTCCACTGAGTCTTCTTACCTGGCGAAGTGGAAATGCTTTGTTCTCTGGTCGGACGGTAAGGGGTTCTCTCCTATGGAGCCCCCTGTGCCTGCTATCTTGGATTACCTCCTGGGACTCAGGCTCCAGGGTCTGTCTCCTTCCTCAGTGAGAGTGTGCCTTACAGCCATCTTGGCCTTTCATTCAGGCTCAGGTGACAGGACAGTTTTCTCTGGCCCCATGGTGCACCACTTTCTTAAGGGGTTGGATAGGGTCTACTCCCAGGTGCACAAGACCTTGCCCTCTTGGGACCTAAATATGTTTCTCACAAGGCTTATAGGTCCCCTCTTTTGAGCTGTTGGCAACGTACTCCTTTCAACACCTTTCCCTGAAGGTGTCCTTCATGGTAGCCATTACTTTGGCCAGGTGAGTGGTGGAACTGAGGGCCCTATCAGTGGATCCCCCCCGTACATGGTCTTTTTTAAAAGATAAGGCCAGGCTGAACCCCCACCCTGCTTTTTTGCCCAAGGTAGTTTCTTACTTCAGTGTTCACCAGGACATTTTTCCTCCCATTTTTTACCCTAAGCCCCACAGCCCTGGGAGAGAACAGCCTTTACACGCTTGATGTGAGACGTGCTCTAGCTTTTTATTTAGAGACCAGGCCTTTTGGTAACTCCCCCCAATTGTTTGTGTCTATGGTGGACAGAATGAAGGGCCAGCCTGTGTCAGCCCAGCGTAGCTCATCTTGGATCACAGCTTGTATCAAAGCATGCTACAAGCTGGGGCAGATTCCAACTCCACCCATTACAACTCATGCCACAAGAGCCCAAGCATCTTCCATTGCCTTCGCAACCCAGGTGCCCATCGTAGAGATTTTCAGGGCAGCTAGCTGGTCATCAATGCACCCCTTTGCAAACCACTATGCCATTACGCAGCACACCAGGGAGCATGCTGCAGTGGGTAGGGCTGTGTTGAGTCTTTCTCCTGGGGTTTTAGCTGTAAAGTCACCTAAGTGGAATGGACATAAGCAAGCACTCAAAGAAGAAAAAAATGGTTACTTGCTTTTGTAACTGTTGTTCTTCGAGATGTTTTGCTCATGTCCATTCCATATCCCACCTCCCTCCCCTGCATCGGAGCATTCCGGCAAGAAGGAACTGAGGGAGTGGAGGGCCAGCTGGAGTATATATGCACTGACATAGCAGCGCCACTCCAGGGGGCTCCCCTGGTGGCCTGACAGGTACCGCTATGAGAAAACTCTCTGACAATCCATGAACATAGCGCACACACCTAAGAGGAATGCACATGAGCAACCCATCTCGAAGAACAACAGTTATAAAAGTAAGTAGCCATTTTTAATGTAGAGTTCAAAGCACAAGAGGGCTCCACCCCAACAGTCTCTATGTATTACCACTGTTGAAACGACAAATCACCGTAATGCAAAGAGTTTATGTGAAAGGTCCAGTTTTCTGTTTATTTGGGTTTCTGTTGTTATTCTCCCTGGGTTTCACTGTCCCATCAGTATAAGGCTTTAGTCAGGTGAGTCACAGGGTGTCTGGCGAGAAACCAGGACTAAACTGTGTGGGATGCCAAGCTGTTTCCCACCCCTGGAAGGGCACATGACACCTGGGATGTCCCAAGTATAACACAAGATGTTGAGCAATTCACATTTTGGGGATTGTGAGAGGACTTCCTCAGGAGTTTGTGCACTTTGAGTTGGCAGTGCAATCTCTGAACAGCACTGGTTGGACCTGGGAGCTGAGCTGTCAATATAAAGACCGGGGGTAGGACACAGAGTTTGAGTATTTCCCCACATTTCTTCAGAAGAAACATTTTTTTCTGCACCACTTTGGGTGCTGTGCATTGGCCAGAGAATGTCCCCAGTTTCCTGGCTAGATGGTCCAATGATCTGATTTTGGGAGGTTCTGCAATGTGGCTGCGCACTGATGAGTTCTGCATTTCAGCATTAGTGACATCTGTCCCACTTTTTAGGAATGGACGCATATGTCGTATTCTCTTCTTTCTGGGTCGGTGGATGCTTTAAAATAAAACACAGACATGTTACTTTTCTGTCCTGCCAGCTGAAAGCCAGAGAAATTAAGCCAGGAAATGGATCTCTGGTAGCACTGCTGTATGTGCAGCAGAAGCAGTTCTAATGGGCATCTGGTCTGGGAAAAACCAGCAACTCCAGTCCCTATGTCAACCCTTCTGAGGCAGGCAGCTCAGATGCCCCCTCTCCTAGCTTTGCTCCAGCTCTTTTCTGCTCTTCTGATGGCTGGGCTCTCCTGACACCTTCCATCTGGGCAGAGGAGCCCTCCTCCCCCTTTCCATGACAGCCACCTTCTTATGGACGTGCCAGGTTCTCCCTGCGATGAGGTGTTGTTATCTGATATAACTTAGGATTCGTTTGTGCTGCAGGCAGTGTCATTTTTTGCTGTTCAGTTTCATATTTTAATCACTGAGGTTGATAAAGGCATCATTTCCAAAGGCTGTTTGCTCTTGTTATTATAATACTGCCATGCTAGATTGGGTGGTTCCCAGAAGGCTTGTGCACACTTGTGAAATGTCTTTAATAAAGTCCCAATACACGGTGTATATTAAAATAATAATTAAAAACAAAACTTGCGTGACCCTGGCTCCTCTCGTGCAGCATTATGGGAGAGGGAATAAAAATCCAAGGTTATTGTTCATTGCCAATATCGACTGAAATACGGACAAATAATTATTGTAAGGGAGCAATTGGGGGAAGGAAGCTCGGTGTTAGCAGCTTTGTCTGCCACTAACATGGTACCCAGGGTGCGTGCACCACTGTACAGCTGCTGCTAGCAGTGTGAGTCTGCGCACACCCCACGGATATCTACATCCCCTGCAAACCCACTGGGAGAAATCCTGCCTTCAGTTAAGTCAATGGAAACTCACAAGTTTTCACCCTTGTTTGTCCTCCTTCCCCTGAGGATGCTGGGATTTCCATAATCAGCTTCATCTCACTAAAGCTGATTCCCGCATGGAAAATGGTCTGAAGCTTCATCTCACTAAAGCTGATTCCCGCATGGGTAATAGTCTGGAGGTTTGCAAACCCTCCTGGGAGATTTCACCATCCAGTTCCCGGGCAGGTTAATGGGAACTTTGAAATGGTGAACATCTCTGCCTTCTGTGACTGCAGAGGCTGGTGGAAGAAGCCCCTTGTAGCCAGATACATTATCAGGTCATGGGGGGATTCACTGTGGTGTGAGTTTGGAAAAGATGTTTTCATCCTTCCTGGATGCATATCTATGTCTGTTGGGGCAGGGCCTGACTGGCCAGGCTAACAGCAGTGGTGGGAGGCAGCTGCCTGCTCCTGGGCGGAGCTCTGGGGCAGCAGCTGGGAGACCAGGGTAACAGATACAACCTGAAGCCTGGGCACCCTGAGTGAATCCACATTCCCAGATCACAGGTCCCTGCTGAGCGGGAACAGGAAAACCAATCGCATATGTTCTCACGTCACTTTGTCACTAATAAAAGCTGAGACTTACCCTGGCTTTCCTCTGCCAATTCACTGAGATGTCTGGGGAGAGAACAAGAGTTATGTGTTATCAAGGGGTGGAATTCCCTTTAGGGGAAGACACATCCTGGAGCAGAAATTACAACCCCACAGCTCCTGCCTGATTGAGGCACTCCCAATGGCAGCTTTGAGCACCATGGAGCCTGAGACTGGTCTAGGTCACTAAGTGTTACCAGAACATCAGGATTTCAGGTGGCCATTGAAGATGTCCAATGGAAACTGGAACTTTTTCCATTGGAGCTTTCCTTGGATGCGACCTTTCCATGAAGGATGGGAAGGGGTAGCACTTTACCTCACTCCTCTAAGCCATGGCAATGTGGGGCTGCGGATCACAGGCAAAGGTGGGACAAAGAAACCTCTAGGACTCAGGTGCATGAGCTTTGAGACCCTGAGAACTTTTTCTTCTAATTCACTTTGATCACAGGCAGTTTGCTGTTGTAACTCATGGCCAGACAATCTGATCTGGGATCTGTCCATCCCCCACCAATTAATACCCTGCCCCCACATTTCTCCCTTATGTGTAAGTGAAGTTGGTAAACCCAATGATCTACAAAATCTCTTACATTGAATCTGGTCTTCAGGAGCATTGCTAGTGTCATGCTGGATGAGTTCCCTGTGGGGAGAAGTAAGGACAGGGCATATCAGTGATGCAGTGTGCTCTCCGTGTGTCACAGGGTTGATATTGAGTCTGTTTGCAGAGATCCAACTGTGATCAGATTTTTTCCCGTGGCTGGTTCGCCTGGTGGGACCTTCTATCTCTTTTCAGCTCACACTCCATAGAAAGGCAGCAAGTCCTACTTCTGGTTAGCAGGGAACAGGGAGGTGTCATCATTTATGGAGGGAAAGTCTAATAAAGACCACCCAAAACTCCAGTTGGGGGAACTGAGAATCCGTATCGTATCAGGGGAGAAATTGAATATAACATCTCCACAAAGTTAGAACTGGGTTTTCCATGAACAATAGCTTAACCAAACTCAAAGGTTTGGCCAAAACCCTCTGGCTACGTCTACACTGGCCCCTTCTTCGGAAGAGGCATGCTAATTTACAACTTTGGAATAGGAAAATGCGCGGGGGATTTAAATATCCCCCACGGGATTTAAATAAACATGGCCGCCGCTTTTTTTCCAGCTTGGGGAAAAGCTGGAAAAGAGCATCCAGACTGGTGCGATCCTCCGGAATAAAGCCCTATTCCGGAGGATCTCTTATTCTTATTCAAGTAGGAATAAGAGATCCTCCGGAATAGGGCTTTATTCCGGAGGATCGCACCAGTCTGGATGCTCTTTTCCAGCTTTTCCCCAAGCCGGAAAAAAAGCGGCGGCCATGTTTATTTAAATCTGGCAGGGGATATTTAAATCCCCCACGCATTTCCCTATTCCAAAGTTGTAAATTAACATGCCTCTTCCGAAGAAGGGGCCAGTGTAGACACACACCCTCTGAGTTCATGAAATTGTCAATTTTTTTAAAATATCTGAAAGAGTTTCTTTTATTTTCTTTTGAATGGATATTTTGGTTTTCTTATGATTTTTTTGTCAGAAAAACTCTAACATTTTCTGTAAACATTTTTTGAACAAAATAGGAGCTAAATATTTTATATGAAACATTTTAACCCAAACAAAATTAGATTTTCGGCCCAGGTTTGCTCATTGTAAAAAGACTACAGGTAGAGGGAAGGGTGCAAGAGTCAGACAGAGAATGCACACTGCTGGAGATAGAGTGGGGCAGTCACACTACTGAGTGTCTGTGTAAGGTCTGCCCCTACCCACTTTATTGGCAGTCACTTCACCAGGACCCCAGGCTGGATTGGACATTGGCAGAGCCTGGAAATTCCCTCTAGCCTCCTCACATGCCTGTCCCTCTCTGTGTCCAGTTGGTTACCCCATGGACTGCCTAGTCTGCCACATGGCCTTTTCCCCAGCCCAATGCTGGCCTCTCCCCCATCACATCCACCTGGGCTAGGGCTGCGTAGATTTCCTAGAGTGCCTATTGGAGCAATGCACAGATGATAAAGCTGAGCCAAATTCCAGGGCCCTGAGCCAAATAGCCCCAACAGCTTGTGAGTGTGAAACAGAGTCATTCTTTCACACACCTAGGAACCATGTTCAAACACGCTCACTCTACTGCCAGTGAATTCAATAGATATACACTGTCATGACAAACCCCTTCCTAAAAGCGTCTCCACATAACACCCAGATCCCACCCCAACCAAAGACTTCATCCTGCCCTGGGCTTTTCCAAAACTTCTCCAGAACAGATAGAGTGAACCCCTCCCCCCTTACCACCCTCTAACTGCACAGCAGGAGAGCTGATCTCTATTTGGATGATGGAGTACTCCGCCCTTTAGTGAGGCAGAAAGAACAAACCTAGAAAGGAAATGGATGGGAGAAGGAAGAAGCTCCAGAAGCAGGATCTGAATGAATGCTTCCCTGACAGCTAGAAGGGAGGGGGAGAGTGTATGTAAATAAAGTTTATGTGTTTATTAAATAGAGTTTGCTCTTCCTCTACTTACATTTTTAGCAGGTATTATGGTGTCAAAGTGAATTACTTGTCTGGGGTTGAGTACAAACCACTTTAGTATTGAATGCAGGGGTAGTGAAATATGGTCACCGATGTTGTAATTATGGTGGGAATACAGAAAAGCGGGGCTGTGCTTAACCTGTCCCAAAGGAGGCAGTCACTCTCAGTTCAAAGAACCTCAGTAAGACAAGGGCTCCAATGTCAGAGGCTGCTAAGAGTGGGTTGGGTTGAAGTGGCCTTTCAGTTAGGAGATTGCATGTCTCTGACTAGAGTCTTTTCTAAGACTGGTTCAATCTATTTTTCTCTACTGTTCAAAAAACAGCACACCATAGGCTTTATTAGGAACCTCTTGCTAAATTGCTAAATCAGAACTGAAACCACTTGTGGTAGGACTATATTTCTGTACTGCCTACATAGACCTGCATGTTATTAAGATACTGACGTGTAGAGGTCACAGCTGGTGAATAAGTGGTGCGTGAGGCAAAGAAGCACAACAAGTAGCCAGAAGGGCAGCTCGTGGAGAGGTGTGGCAAGAGCAGTGAGTAGGTGGCTAGTGGGATTGAGTGGCGAGTAGCCAGCATCTGTGAGTAGGGTACAGAGAAGGGTTGGACATGGAAAGGGGACTTTTAGGTTGCTGGACTTAAGAACCTAAGAGGAAAGGGGCACTGCCCAACCTACGTGGGGTGGGAATTTTATTCATGGATTTTGCTTAGTACACTTTGCAAAGTACACTTTGTTCGGGGTGTTTTCCCAAATTAATGCTGAGTTGCTTCCCTCTGCTTTTATTAAAAGTTTGTTTTCTATACTCAGACTCTGTGCGTGCAAGTGGGGAAGCATTGCCTTTCAGAGGCACCTGGGGTGGTGTGTAATTTTCCCAGGTTGCTGGGGGGGGGCTCGAGCCAGTTCTATTGAACAGAGGGAGAGGAACTCTAGATATTGAACCCGACCTTGACTGCTGCTGGGAGAAGGGTTTCACTTAGATGCTGGCATTGCCAGCCCCACTGTGAGATAGAAAAAAAAGGATCTAGAAAGGAAACAAGGTAGAAGAGGGAATACTCTCCTACCTTTGATCTCTTGGTAGAGAAGCAACCGGAAGGCTGTCAGACTGATCAGAGACCTGGACACGTTTCCTTGCTGGAACAGAAATATATTTAAAGAGATGGAAACTGAGAAATGCAATCCCAATTCCTACTTGTAGTGATGCAGAGCCCTGTGCCCTTAGCCCAGCCCAGCATTCTCCTCCACCAACCCTACTGACTGCCCCTGAGAGCAGTGTGGCCTCATTTGATAATTTAGTGGCCAGTTTCATGGCTTTGTATGTCCTGATAGTCAGCGGGGTTCCATAAGAATCTCATATTTCATTAAAAATGAATGTATAACTCTCATTTTTAGGGAGAAAAGCCTGAATATGTGACTCTAGTGACCGCCTCCAAAATCACCCCCCTCCCAGGCAAATTCAACCCCCCTGCACAGATGACTTGTTGGCAATCCCATGAGTTCTCAGGCTGGTCGGGGTGGCTGGAGGCTATGGGAGCTGGGGGTGGGGAGGCGCTGTGAGGAAAGGCCTCAGGGCAGAGCTGTGCCCAGAGCTCTGTGTTCAGAGTTGTTAGGGCCTGATGCAGGAAAGCTCCTACACACGGGCACAAGGGCCCTTCCTGGCTAGGGAATGCCTCCCTGAGCTGCAGCTTTTGAGACCTACCTGTGGATATTCCATCCAGACACACGCCCCTGGTTGAGCCCTGGACTGGTACCATCTATGATTCAGGTATTGTACCCTTTATTACTGGTCTGTGCAACACTGGACACAGGAGTGTCCCGATCCCTGATTAGGACTATAGGTCACTGCAGTACTGTACCTAATAAATAGTGGACCTAGCACAGGACGACCTGATCCCAGACTGGGCTCCAAAGTGCTATCACAGTAAAAACAATTAATCACAATATCTTTCATTATCTCTTTGATTTTTCTCCCAAGTCAAAAACAAATGATCGGTTTTACTATATCTTTTCTCTCCCCCTATCCCAGGCACACTGGGGACAGGAGATCTAAGGGGTGTCTCTGCCCTGTCTGTCTGTACATTTACTAACACGGCTCAGCCTCACTCTCATACCCACCTTTCTTTCCCAGCAGATAAAGCACCACAGCCAGCACCAGGACAGCAGGGACTGCAATTCCCAAAAGAAGCCTTAGATCCAGCCCTAGGAAAGAACCTCACTATGAATGGCCCCTCCATGCAGCCACCAGCCAGTCCATACTGACTAGTGCTGAGTTTTGTGGTAAGTGACCCCTCCAATCATCATGAACATACTGGAAGAGTTGAGTCCATGATTACCTGCAGGGTGACATTATTGGTCATTCCTGGTGAGTAAAATAGATTGACACAACATTTTTACAATCCTAAACCAATTTAATTGAAACAAAACCTTTCCCCCAAACAGTTCACATGCAAGGGCCTTCTTTGTGCCTCCACAAAAATAATTTTGAAATGAAAACAAATTTGTGCTTTGTTCTTTGGTGATATTTTTATTTTTAAAATCCAGAAATGTAAGGAAAAATGGTCATTTGAAAGTAGTTTGTCTCATTTTGGTTCTGAAAAGCCAAAACAAAGTCAAACCTCTAGTGAAAATGGGGCCAAATGATTTTTGTTGTTCTATTTATATTTTTCAGTGAAATTTTCCATAACACATTGTGAGTGAAATAGTTTTCTTCATAATTTTTTCTGGCAATAAACCTGGATTTTCCCCTCCCCCTCCCAGCTCTAAGAGTGGGCTTCTCAAGGCAGGAAACATCCCTGTCAGAACTGCACTGCTTCAGGAAGTATCACATCTCAGGACAGCATCATGTACAATCTGAACTTTGCACGGCCATTAGTTCCAGCAACGGGACTGCAGCAGGCACTCAAAGATAAGCATGTACATAGGCGTGGTCCTGGTTAGCATTAGACTGGAACACACATGAGAGCTTTCCTGAGTGAGTGCCACAGAGCTATATGGCATGTAAAGAGGTGTACAAAGCTGGTTGACAAATGCCCAGTGGAAGTTTCAATCAAAAAATGCTTTTTCCTTAAAATCAAAACTCTTTGAGAAAATGTGTGGATGTGTCAGGACTGAAATGTTGCTGAATTTCTGCTCAATGCAAAAATCTGTGGTAGGACTGTGGATGAGGGGTTGGGGTGTAGGAGGGGGCTCCACAATTGGAGGAAAGGGGTTTGGAGTGTAGGAAGGAGTGTGAGATTCAGGCTCCATGAGGGAGTCTGAGTGCAGAAGGGGCCTTAAGGCTGAGACAGGGAGTTGAGGTGCAGGCTCTGACTGGGAGGTGTTAAACTCAGGTGGCTACCAATGGCAGTGCGGTGGGGCTCAGCCAGTCTCCTTGCTTGCCCTTGCTGTGCTGCAGTCCCTGGACATGGCCAGCATGTCCAGCATCTAGTAGAAAGTGCAGCCAGGCAGCCCCCATGCACTAACCACACCTGCAAGTGTTTCCCCACCTGCAGTTCCTATTGTCCGCAGGGACATTTCGGCTGGGAGCTGTGCAGAGCCAGGGCAGGCTGGGAACCAGCTTTAGCCCCACTAAGCTGGCCAGACTTTTAACAGCCTGCTGAGTGGTGTTCACCAGAGTTGCCTGCTTTCTGGTTGAAAACTGACACTTGACATCCCTAATCCCTACCTGGGCTGGACCGTCTGAGCTGAGATGGGTGGGAAATGAGGTGTGGAGGGTGGATTCCCTGGGGCAAATGCTGAACAAAGATGTTTTGACAGAAATTTTATGTTGCAGATTTTGAAAATGGATTAATTTCTGCATTTGGATTTTCAGGGGGTTGTTATTTAACTGTTCGCTGTTTGGACCCCCTTGTCCCTCCTTTTCTGCCTTGTTGAATTGCTGAGCAGGGCTGAGCTAGGATACAGTCTCACTCACTCACACACACACACATACACCCCTTACCAGTGACACTGAGGTGCTGGGCAGGGCTGAGCTGAGATCTGGTCACCTGGTTGTCACTGTCCTTGATCTCATACCCACAGGCGTAGCTCCCGGAGCTGTCGCTGGACACCGCATGGTCATATTCATAATTGACCTTCTTCGGTGAACCTGTCTGGGATGAAATCTCCTCCCCGCCCTTATAGAAGATGATGCGGGTGGCTGGAGCCTGGCTGAACACGGAGCACTGGATCCGCACGGTATCTCCTGTCTGGGCTGTTGTCCCTAATAAATAGTGGACCTAGCACAGGACGACCTGATCCCAGACTGGAGTACTGTACCTAATAAATAGTGGACCTAGCACAGGATGGCCTGATCCTAGACTGAAGAAGAGCAGCTGGGAAGGGAAATGGAGCCATTGGTGGCACCTGGAACTGGCTCCAAAGTGCTATCACAGTAAAAACAATTAATCACAATATCTTTCATTATCTCTTTGATTTTTCTCCCAAGTCAAAAACAAATGATCGGTTTTACTATATCTTTTCTCTCCCCCTATCCCAGGCACACTGGGGACAGGAGATCTAAGGGGTGTCTCTGCCCTGTCTGTCTGTACATTTACTAACACGGCTCAGCCTCACTCTCATACCCACCTTTCTTTCCCAGCAGATAAAGCACCACAGCCAGCACCAGGACAGCAGGGACTGCAATTCCCAAAAGAAGCCTTAGATCCAGCCCTAGGAAAGAACCTCACTATGAATGGCCCCTCCATGCAGCCACCAGCCAGTCCATACTGACTAGTGCTGAGTTTTGTGGTAAGTGACCCCTCCAATCATCATGAACATACTGGAAGAGTTGAGTCCATGATTACCTGCAGGGTGACATTATTGGTCATTCCTGGTGAGTAAAATAGATTGACACAACATTTTTACAATCCTAAACCAATTTAATTGAAACAAAACCTTTCCCCCAAACAGTTCACATGCAAGGGCCTTCTTTGTGCCTCCACAAAAATAATTTTGAAATGAAAACAAATTTGTGCTTTGTTCTTTGGTGATATTTTTATTTTTAAAATCCAGAAATGTAAGGAAAAATGGTCATTTGAAAGTAGTTTGTCTCATTTTGGTTCTGAAAAGCCAAAACAAAGTCAAACCTCTAGTGAAAATGGGGCCAAATGATTTTTGTTGTTCTATTTATATTTTTCAGTGAAATTTTCCATAACACATTGTGAGTGAAATAGTTTTCTTCATAATTTTTTCTGGCAATAAACCTGGATTTTCCCCTCCCCCTCCCAGCTCTAAGAGTGGGCTTCTCAAGGCAGGAAACATCCCTGTCAGAACTGCACTGCTTCAGGAAGTATCACATCTCAGGACAGCATCATGTACAATCTGAACTTTGCACGGCCATTAGTTCCAGCAACGGGACTGCAGCAGGCACTCAAAGATAAGCATGTACATAGGCGTGGTCCTGGTTAGCATTAGACTGGAACACACATGAGAGCTTTCCTGAGTGAGTGCCACAGAGCTATATGGCATGTAAAGAGGTGTACAAAGCTGGTTGACAAATGCCCAGTGGAAGTTTCAATCAAAAAATGCTTTTTCCTTAAAATCAAAACTCTTTGAGAAAATGTGTGGATGTGTCAGGACTGAAATGTTGCTGAATTTCTGCTCAATGCAAAAATCTGTGGTAGGACTGTGGATGAGGGGTTGGGGTGTAGGAGGGGGCTCCACAATTGGAGGAAAGGGGTTTGGAGTGTAGGAAGGAGTGTGAGATTCAGGCTCCATGAGGGAGTCTGAGTGCAGAAGGGGCCTTAAGGCTGAGACAGGGAGTTGAGGTGCAGGCTCTGACTGGGAGGTGTTAAACTCAGGTGGCTACCAATGGCAGTGCGGTGGGGCTCAGCCAGTCTCCTTGCTTGCCCTTGCTGTGCTGCAGTTCCTGGACATGGCCAGCATGTCCAGCATCTAGTAGAAAGTGCAGCCAGGCAGCCCCATGCACTAACCACACCTGCAAGTGCTTCCCCACCTGCAGTTCCTATTGTCTGCAGGGACATTTCGGCTGGGAGCTGAGCAGAGCCAGGGCAGGCTGGGAACCAGCTTTAGCCCCACTAAGCTGGCCAGACTTTTAACAGCCTGCTGAGTGGTGTTCACCAGAGCTGCCTGCTTTCTGGTTGAAAACTGACACTTGGCATCCCTAATCCCTACCTGGGCTGGACCGTCTGAGCTGAGATGGGTGGGAAATAAGGGGTGGAGGGTGGATTCCCTGGGACAAATGCTGAACAAAGATGTTTTGACAGAAATTTTATGTTGCAGATTTTGAAAATGGATTAATTTCTGCATTTGGATTTTCAGGGGGTTGTTATTTAACTGTTCGCTGTTTGGACCCCCTTGTCCCTCCTTTTCTGCCTTGTTGAATTGCTGAGCAGGGCTGAGCTAGGATACAGTCTCACTCACTCACACACACACACATACACCCCTTACCAGTGACACTGAGGTGCTGGGCAGGGCTGAGCTGAGATCTGGTCACCTGGTTGTCACTGTCCTTGATCTCGTACCCACAGGCGTAATTCCCGGAGCTGTCGCTGGACACCACATGGTCATAGTCATAATTGACCTTCTTCGGTGAACCTGTCTGGGATGAAATCTCCTCCCCGCCCTTATAGAAGATGATGCGGGTGGCTGGAGCCTGGTTTAACACGGAGCACTGGAGCCACACGGTATCTCCTGTCTGGGCTGTTGTTTGGTTCAGGTAGAGGATGGGGGTAAGAAGAGCAGCTGGGAAGGGAAATGGAGCCATTGGTGGCACCTGGAACTGTTTATGTGACAGGAGGTAAATGGCAGGGGGTCTGAGCCATGTCTCAGATGGAGGCTCTGATCCCAGCCCAGCTGGGCAGCTGGGGGGGACAAGCTCTCTCTGGTTCCAGGGAACTTTATTCTCCTGGATCAGTGGGTTGCCAGGCTGGGCTCCCATTGCCTAGCACTGCTCACTCTCCTGGAACAAGGGGCCCTGGTGTAAGCACCCCACTGACCCATCTGGGGCCGTAAGGCCATTCTTTCCCAGCAGATAAAGCACCACAGCCAGCACCAGGACAGCAGGGACTGCAATTCCCAAAAGAAGCCTTAGATCCAGCCCTAGGAAAGAACCTCACTATGAATGGCCCCTCCATGCAGCCACCAGCCAGTCCATACTGACTAGTGCTGAGTTTTGTGGTAAGTGACCCCTCCAATCATCATGAACATACTGGAAGAGCTGAGTCCATGATTACCTGCAGGGTGACATTATTGGTCATTCCTGGTGAGTAAAATAGATTGACACAACATTT